AAATAGCGATGCGTACGAACAATGTAACAATGAGGATTGATAGGATTCAAAAGGAAAATTAATGTATTCAATAAACTAATTAATTCAAAAGAGGGAGTCAAGACTGCAAAATTCGACCCCTAGGCGTGGAATAACGATACAAGGAATGGCATTAAGATCAATATTAAAGGAAGGTATTCATCGAGATTGAGATATCTAAAGCAAATATGCTTCGTGGAACTAGTTCTGCCTAAAATTTATACACCAACTAATCTGTAAGCAAGCCTTTATCCTGAACCTTAGATTTTTCAGCTGCTCTTTTATCCTTCAGAAAGTCTCCTTTACTATCAGGTCAGAAATTTATATTGATGGATTAAAAAAGGTTTATCAAGTTAGCCCTTTTCTGTTATTGTAATCTGTGCAGTTCTCATCTACTCATGGACATAAGTTTGGTATCCTTTCAGTATCTGTTTTTGTGCATTCATTAATCGAGTTTAGCAATGCGTGCGAGATGGAATATAACTATTGAGATTTCACTGCTACACATTTTATGGTTACTTTAATCTCCAACTATTTATAAATTCCATTAAATTTTCAACCCATGTCTCTAGCTGAGTGATTCATTTTTTACCACGAAGAAACAATTACTTTTCCTTAATATAGCAAGGATCTTTTCTTTCTCCGGATGAATTGAACACTGGTTTCGTTTATAAGTAGGTTTTTGAGACTACCAGTAGATTATATACATAAGATGTATTTGCCCCAGTTCGTTCAAGGTGATAAGGCGACTGATAGTTGTATTTTTGCTCAATGCTATGAGCTGACGCTTCCATAGAATTTCACAGCTTTTTTCCCCAAAGCCTATTCCCACTCAGGATGTAATGCAGTTTTAACCTCGCTTGGTCTTATCTGCACCCCCAACGGTACTCGAACCATGAGAGTGCATCGTGACAGGGCGAATGTGAATTTCAAGGAGGGACAGACATTTTTCGATATCGCATTCTGCGGTGGGATTGTCAATGAAGCAAAGTTGTAGTTGCTATAGCAATCAATTATATTACTTATTTTTTATTTATTAGGTTTTCAAAACTACAAATACATTATTCCACCTTTGACGAGAATATCTTTTGGGAAAACAAGACTATGTGAAATTCAATGGAAACGCAGGGTTTACTCACATCATCTGGGAAAAATTTGTCTACCAGTCCTCTTATCATCCTAAACGAAATAGGCTTAACACACCTCATATATATGAACAATGGTTGATTGGCACTTGAGAAGAAACGTTTCTGCTAGTGGAGCCAGAGTTTGGGTTGCAGAAATTTTCGGAACAATACCAGATTTAAGATAATGTAGACCGGAAACAACTGGCGTCGTGACCTACATACATACCTCCATACATGAATGCTCACTTGTCGATGCAGATAGAATACATCTGTGCTAGTTATTTCAGGCTATTCATCTAATCTAATTTAAATGAAACATTATTATAATCTATCCTAGTTTTAATGCTTTCTAATTTATCATGAATAAGAAAATTGAAATACCTTTCTATTTATTTATTTTAGTTATATCTTCTATTTTATGCTTGAGCTGCCAATAGATATATGCATAGATATATGCATAGAAACAGTGATTTTAATGCTTGAATATCTTTAAATAATTCTTCATGACTTTGTAATTTAGGTTCTCGAATAACTATCCGAACAAAGAGGATTACTTTTTTAGGCGGTCTCTAGACTGTTGACCTTTAAGAGCTCATAGTTTGTTACCTTGGTCTAAAATTATTTTCTTTCTGAGGCCTTTCCCTCATTCTGAGCAAATGTGTAATTATTGCCCTAAACTGAATGTGCATGTATGGAGGCTCACGGAATCTTAAGACGATATTTTAATGCGCCTTTCAAATGCATTAATAATCGAATCCTCACTCCTTCATAAAG